GTCCCCTCGCCCGAGCTTTAAGTTAATGCACAAGCTTCCTAGCAAGATCCCGGCTTGGAAGCAGGACTACTTCGTAGTCTGGAACCCTGCGGGGTTGCCCTTCCCTGCTCACTGGAGGGCGGCTATCCAAGACCCCGGCATCATCCTCGACAAGAAGACCAGGGAGACATTCCAATCGTGGGCTGAGGTTGGTTGTAGTTACAAGGATTACATCACTGAGAGTATGCTCATCCAGGTCGGCTTGAGCCCGGGTAGGTAGTTAGTGCCTTAGTTTTCTTGTCTGCTCCTTTCTTTTACTCGAGTACTAATGTCGAGCTTTGTTGCAGGTCCCATGGAGGCAGATAAGCTTAAGGGAGATCGGCTCTTCAAGCACATGAAGGGGAGGAAGAAGCGGGCTGCTAAGAGAGCTCGTATCGAGTCACCGCCAGCCCTCACTCCTGAGCCCAAGCTTCCACCGGCTCCGACTTCCGAGCCTGAGCTCCCTGGGGCTCCTCCGATCATTGACTTGGAGGAGTCCATACCACATAGGGAGCCCGAGACCTCGGCCGAGCCCGCTATGAGGGCAGCAGCTGAGCCCGAGGTTGCCACCGGAGCTGCTAACGTAGCAGCTGAGGTCTCCGCCGAGCCCATTCATACAGTCGAGACGACTGTCTCCAGCTCGGGGAGCCCGAATGGGGGCCGTTTACTCTGAGGAGATTTCAATCTGGGTCGATATGTTCAACCCTGCTCAGCTCGGAGCTCAGGCTGCCACCCACACTATGGTGGTAAGTTCTCTTCTCTTTCCTTTCCTTTTCTTTTATATATACGTTCCTTCGGTAGTAACTAACTTCCTTTGTCAGGTGAACTCCGCCATGCACGCCCTTGCTCTTCAGTCCGAGAGCAACCTGAAGCGAGCTCTGACCGCCGAGGAGTCTTCCCGCGCTGCTCATACCGATCTGAGGGTAGCTCGCGAGCAGATCTACCGGTTGGAGAGCGACGCCATGACCCAGAGGGGCGTTATTACGGCGCTGACGACGGAGAAGGACGAGCTAGCACGCGAGAATGACGTGCTGAGGGACGAGATGGAGGCCCTCAAAGCGGAGCTGGCATGCGAGAAGGGTGTGTTGAGGGGCGAGCTTGACACCCTCAGGGCGGAGGCGGAAGGCCTTAAGGAGAATAAGAAGGCCCTCCTGCACGAGGTGGAGTTCCACAAGGCGAACATCGAAGAGAAGACTGAGATCTTCACTCAAGCGATAGAGGAGACGAAGATCAAGGCTGTCGCGGAGTACATCCAATCTGATAAATTTGATGCCGTTCTGGGGAGGCCCACCGCAAGGGGTTCAAGCTCATCCGATAGCTGATAAGGCACACGTACCCCGAGCTTGACACAAGCGTCA